GACTTCATGACCACAGATGTCAGAGCCACGGGTCTGTAGTCATTTAGTCCAGTGATCCTAGGTTTCTTGGGGACAGGGATTATGGTAGAGGACTTGAAGCAGGCAGGCACATGACATGCCTGCAGTGAGGAGTTGAAAATGCCAGAAAACACTGGGGCCAGCTCGTTTGCACAGTGTCTGAGGGTGGCAGGAGACACGCCGTCTGGGCCGGGAGCTTTTCGAGCATTCAGACTCTTAAACTGCTTCCTCACATCTGCTTCATGAATATGAAGAGTTGTGGTGGGAGGAGGTGGTGTGAAATCCTCTTTTGTGTGGGGTGAGGAGGGGGGTGTTGTAGGTGAAAGGTTTGAAGGTGGTGATGGCTCTATGGAGGGGGGAGAGGTGGGGGAATTAGTGTCCAAAGTGCCTCTATTGTTGGGGCCGTTGGAGGTGTGAAGGCTGCCTGATGGCTCGTCAAAACGGCAGTAGAAGTCGTTGAGGGTGTTGGCCAAGAGCAAGTCGTCAGTGGAGTGGGGGGTTTTAGGCTTGTAGTTGGTGATATTCCTAAAACCTTTCCACACAGAGGCCGAGTCATTCTCTGAGATCTGCTGCTGCATCTTCTCAGAGTGCTGATGTTTAGCAATGTCCACTTCTTTAGTGAACCTGTACTTGGCCTCTCTGTAGCAGTCCCTGTCTCCGCTTCTGAACGCCTTTCTCTTTTCCAGCCACAGCTTTTTGAGTTTAGGAGTAAACCAGGGTTTGTCATTGTTATAACTCACCCTGGTGCGTGATGGCACAATGCTGTCCTCACAGAAGTGGATATAGGAGGTGACAGTGTCCGTAAACTCGTCCAAGCTGTTAGAAGCAGCCTTCATTGTGTCCCAGTCTGTAGACTCCAAACACGTGCGAAGCTCCTCCACAGCCTCGTTGCTCCACAGTTTTTTGGTCCTCACGACAGGTTTGGAGAGCTTCAGCCTCTGTCTGTACGCGGGGATTAGGTGGATCATGACGTGGTCAGAAAGTCCGAGTGAAGCGCGGGGCACCGCGCGATAGGCCCCGCTGATCGTGCTGTAACAGTGGTCTAATGTCCTCTCCTCTCTGGTCGCAGATGCTTGTTAACACATGTTACTGTGTGACCAGAACCATGATGAACCACAACAAACCAAACACCCTGTGTCTCCAGGAGCTAAGAATTTGATAGTTTGTCTGTTCAGGTTTTGTTCAGTTAATTTGGTCTTAGATTTAAAAAAAAAAAGTAATTTAAAGTTTTAAACCCAACATATGTACACACAGTTATCATTATCAATGAAATGGCTGTAATGGAATAGTCCAAAGCAATTGCCATGATTAACATCATGTGATCAAGGACATATGTTAAGGAGCATTTATAAGGATTTATGTGAAGAGAATCCAATTGCCCTTACACTGGCTCCTTGATCTTTAATGTGGGTCTCTTAAGGTGAAACTACAATGTCCTTAAAAGGGACTACAAAAAGAACGTCTTAGATGATTCCCTCCACAAATTCTCACCATGTTTTCTCATGAGGGTCATATAACCACTTGCAAAGAAATCATGTTACTATTAAAATGTTAATTTATAGATTTTATTTATTTATTTTTAATTTAATTTACTATAAATATGCATATAAAGCAATAACTTGACAAAATGTAGATTGGATCACAAAAGTGTGACGTTCAGAGTCCAGTGAAGGGTTTAATACAGCCTGTATCTGAAAGTTTGCTTTAGACCAAATCAGCAATTTATGGCATGAAATTTTATTGTCTGACGGTTTATTAGGAGAGCATTACCTCCTTTCCTTTCATAAAGAATCATCCAGTGTATCCTAAAGGACATAATATGGGAAGCACTAAAGCATCTTCACTTATTTAGGGAATTTGAAGAGCTGTTGTTATGCTTGCCATGCAGATTCTTACGGGTCACTCGTGTCTTATATTTTCATGGTTGAAAAACAGATCTTAAGCTCTGTTAAAAACTGCAGAAAAATCATTTTTACACCATCTCCACATGTCACAACCCAAAGCCAGAATCTTGTCGTTCAACATAATTTTCTTCTAAAACATACTCTGAGCATCAGTATCATTACATAGTTTCAATAGCAAATTGGCACCAATTCAATGATCATGTTGAAGAGGAGCAGAAACAAACGCTGATGCCCTGGATTATTCAAAAAGTGCATTTTGGCTCAAATTTCCATGGTTATTCCACCATAAAGATGAGCGTAGCATATGATACCTCATTTTGACTTACATTCATCTTCTAGAACCTTTACCAACAACATAATTTTCTAACATCCTTTTGTTAAAAAAAAAATCAATGTCTGTAATTTTAAACAAACAAACAAACAAACAAAAACATTCATTTCATGAAGGTAAACTTTTACATTTTATATGTGGGTTGAATAGAGTTGCTGTGGTGACCTTGGCCACCCCTGACCACACCTTATCTTCTCCCCTGACCTTAATGTCTACTTATAGCGATATCTAAAGTTTAGATCCTTCCAGAGCTAAATAGTATTATGCCGTGTTTACGTATCTATACGCCTTCCTCTGAGAAAGAGGATTAAATTATCATTAATCATTTATTTATCATTAAATAAATGAACCTAGAGGTTTGTTCTTCCTTTTTGATAATTACTCAAAATCTCTTGGTTCTCTCTACTTAAATGTGCTTAAACCAACCGTTCTCACTCCCAAAGCGTAACATTTTACGCTAGGTGACAAATCGTCACCATATTACGTTTTCGGCTACCCACCACGTTCCTAAATGACGACCTCGGAAAAAGAGGAAATATGAGAACCGTCTGGACTGAACCTACACATGTTCGCTCTTTTTCTTCAAATCGCTTAGAAACACGCTATTTAACATCATTAAAGTCCTGGTTAAGGTCAGGAATAAGGTTATGGTCAGGGCTAGGGATAAGGTTAGGTTTAGGGCTGGAATACAGGGCTGGAACGTCTACTACCGCGGGAGCGTCATTGCACTGGATTCCAGCCATAACCCGCCGCGTACCATAAGAACGCCGAAGGTCTCCTTTCGCGTTCCTCAGGAACGCCGCGGGACGAGACAAAACGTCGACATGTTACGCCTCGGGAGTGAGAACGCTCTGGCTTAAACAGATAACTAACTTAACCAATGCACGTTTAAATAGGGGTATTGTACAGTTCGACGGCTGTAAGATACAGTCACCAGAAAATCGGCATACTTGAACGGGTTGCTTTTATTAGCAAACCGATATTATTAATGTGATGGTCACTTCTTTAAAGTTTAGCTCTGCGTCTTTACATAGTAGCAGTGATGTTTCAGCCCCTTCCTGCACTCTCGGGATGTCTCAGCTAACGTGCACGCTTCGCTCGAGCTCTCAGTGCGTGCTTCGGTCATCCGAGGCTGCCTCTGTACTAGAATCTGCCGCAAGTCACGTACGTTCCGAGGTGACAGCAGATTATTCCACTGCGACTTTTTTGGGAGCAGTAACGGGATTCACACGGCTTTTTGACTGGGGGAAAAACCAGCAGGTACACTACCCCGACAGCTGTTTCCGAGAAAATGTTGTTTTTATTTTTTTAATGACAACGTAAAAAATACGACTTTACTCTACGTTTGGCAGATACAAACGGTCTGGAGTCGGCCAAACAGCGCGGTGCTGGCAGAAATGCGCGTCAGATAGCTGTTTTAAGACATACTGTGCATGTTTTGGAGGAACAGTCCGCCTATATTTTACTGAATAAGTTTAAAAGTACAACTTCGATAGACAGGCTATCCTGCCAGAAAGGTCACGGTAGACGGTGGAACAACCTAGAACATTATTATTATTATTATTATTATTATTATTATTATTATTATTATTATTAGACTTTCAAAAACTATCCTAACCCATTAAAGTACAATGCAACAAAAACTTCTGACCAAAACTTTCAAAATAAAAGCATTGTCGACAAATGATTTTGGATGGTTTTTGGATAGTGAAGGAAAGTCCTTTCCAGCATATATTCTTGTGATACTTTTTTTTCCAACTTTTTGATATATTTTTGTAATGGCTGTTTGTGTAGCTATTAAGGTGGCCTTTACTCTCACTCTTATTTTGGAAACCAGCTTGCTCATTTTCTGTCTTCCTGTTCTTTCCTGGGGGCTTTGTGCTTTCCTATAAAACAGTCAGCAGAGTGTAGAGCAGCTAAACAAGTCGGATGGGAACGCATGCAGACATGAGTCCTCTATCCAAGGTTGTGAATAAGGAAGAAATTAAAACTGACTCCCACAAACTGGTCAATGATGATGATAATGACCACAGACATGCAGATCAGCTGCTCCCCTGGAGGTTTAGCAGTGCTGACACTGGACCTGGAGACACTTTTGTGGGGGCCAAGGTAGAGCCCCAAGTTGGGACTGGTGTCAAAGCTGGATTTGATACAGGGTTTGATACTGGAGATGGCGTTACATTTGGGACCAGCAGCAACAGTGTTACAGTTGCAGACATGAAAGGTCAGATCCAAGAAAATGGGACTGGGGTTGAAGCTGGAATTGAAGCTGTGAGTGAAGTCGGGAAAACAGTCAGAGATATAGCCAGGGCTGGGGCTGGGAAAAATAGGGCCGGGATCGTACCCTATGCTCTTCCCTGGAGCGCCCATCCCAGATCCAAAGGCCGGAGGTACCGCAGCAGTCACAGACTGGTGCTCCACTACATCATCCCCAGCATGAACTCCTATGGCATGTGCATCATTGACAACTTCCTCGGGAGCAAAATTGGAGACCGGGTTCTGCAAGAGGTCCAAGAGCTGCACCACTCTGGGAAGATGCAGGACGGCAAGCTGGCCAGCAGAGGCCTGGACAACACTAGGAGTATTCGTGGAGACCAGATCGTTTGGGTGGAAGGAAACGAGCCGGGCTGCGAGAACATCGGCTACCTGCTGTCGAAGATGGACAAACTGGTCACCTACGCCGATGGGAAGTTGGGGAAGCACAAGATCAGAGGAAGGCACAAGGTTAGTAGCTGTCATACTCCGTCTACATCCCCATGCACCTCACTTACTTTATATCTGAAGGTGATTTAATTCCATAGGAATTCTGTTTTAGTGTTTCCTCAGGATCTTTGAATCTTTATTATTATCAGTGATTTGTACATAACTGCCAATATTGGCAGGGCACCTATTTCTCAATAAACTCTTGATTACTTTGGAGTTTATGTGTACAGTCTGGGATGGTGCTTTGTGTTAAAGGACTACTGTGAGAGATTTCAAATGTTTTTCCTGACAGTAATTAAGAACATTTAGGAGGTTACAGTGCTTGAGTACACTTTTCTTGAATTATACTTCCAAATTATTTCAGAGTGTAACATTGTGCTTTATACTACACTGCGTGTTTACAGCTTGTGGTAATCATAGGAAGTTTTTACACAGTGAACAATACAACATTTTATAATGCTGTAGATTAAACCAGCCATTTCAAACCTTTCCGTTGTCTTATGAAAAGCAAAGAGCTGTTGGGCTCACATATCTCAGCAGGTCTGTGGAATCCTGATTTGTTTTTTTTTGTTTTTTTCCAGCTTAACTTCTCCCAGTATGTGTTCAAATAATCCAATATCTGACATAAAGTCAATCTTTATTTTTTTTGAGTCTCTGTAATCAAAGTGTGCAGCATTCAGCACCTGGAGCAGCCGCAACAGCATTTTTCTGCTTACTCACTGACACTCCACTGTAATAATTATAGTACCATAATCATAGTCTTATATGTTGTTGGAGAGGGGGGGCTCAGAGAAGTTTTTTCCCCACTTTATTTCTTTAACTGTATTTTGTTGGTAATGATTTTCTGGGGTAAGTTAAGTATTAAGTATTATTTAAGTATTATTGTAGGGTCTACCTTAAAATATAAAGCGCCTTGAGGCGACTGTTGTTGTGATTTGGCGCTGTATAAATAAAATTTTATTGAATACTAGAATTTAAACTTGCTGCAAATAATTAATTAAAGATGAACGATTTTAAGACATACCCGGTAATACACTTCAATTGTTTATGGGTGTAGTTTTATTGTTATTATTATTTATATATTTATTTATTTATTTTAATATTATTATCCTGTATGCTGCATGATAGTTTCCGTTGCAGCTGCTTTGTATTTTCCCTGCACGTGGTCAAGTACACGTTCACTGTTTACTTCCGTTAGGGAGGGGAGGAGGCAGTGAGCGCGAGGGCTACATGCAGCTCACGTAGTACTTAATGGCGACGGGCACGCCCAGCGCGTGGGCACGTTACCGAACCACTGCTGCTCCTTTAACTTTAACTAACTCGCATTGTGGCAACTTTACTGCGTGATATTTTGTGTTGCTCACAACGAGGTGAATGATCTGTGTGGAGTTTGTGCTGCCGTGGTTTCTTGTTGTGGCACATTGTTTTTTTGTGTACCGCTTGTTTTATGTGGGAATTCAAGTGAAAATGATTTGACACGCGAATCGTCACGTGATGTAAGAGGAGGCCATAAAAGAGAAACGCAGTGGGGAAGTCACGAAGCCTCACCTCTCCCCCACACAGTGGACATCACATCCAGCACGTCTCTCACTCCTCGCACATTCACTCCCCGATCTCGACTGTAAAGCTAGAGGAATGCCACCGGAAGTAGGCCGGCATTCCTGTAAAATAAAGCTATAAAACTATCGTAACTCTCAAGAATCAATTGTCAATTCAGAGGAATTCGTCTTATTGAAGGCTAAATGTCGAATCAATATCAGAATTAGTGCATTTGATTTAAAAGTTAGCTTTGTGTTTTACAGTTAAGCATCATGACGAATTTCAATACAGTTGAATTTCATCAGAATGCTTAGTGTATATATAAAGCGACAGATTAGTTTGAACTATTACTGAGCTTAGAATATTTAGCATTTTACGTGACAAATCACTTGTACAAAAATGATTTGTTAAAATGTCTTTTGATCATATTATTGATTAGTTTTCAGCAATTAATGAGAAATGCTCTATAGCAGCCTGTTTAGTCTCATACTGAAATATTTTAGTCCCACGCTGAAGGTTTATTCTTTCAGATATTTATTATTTTATTTTTTCTGGAACTGATGTTCCAGACACCCTTGTAATAACTAGCAATCCCCTCGACCACCGTTAAAAATTAAACACACCAAGAGGCAAAAGGTTTGTCAGGCAGTGCGACATTTATTGTGAAATCCGTTACCGGATGTGGTGTACTTGTACAGTCGCTTGATCGCCTGTGTCGTGGGCAGAATGATAAACGCGAGCGGAGAAACGCAGGACTTCAGAGGTATTCCGTGAAGTCTGTCAGCTCGGTGCTTGACTGTTGGACTTCAGCAGGACTGAATTCAGACCGTCACAGAAACAGAGCTGACGGCGAAACGGGCTTCCCTCTCTCTGTTTGTCGAATCAATCATTTTACAGCCAAAACTTTGAACCTGCGACTCGTTTCTTTTTGTACGTTTTTTTTAAACTTCCAAGATTACCTCAACAGTTAAAATGCCTTTCATTGAACACTTATCGGACACGGAATTGGAGCGTTTGGCTCTTGAGCAGGTCGTCCCGGCCCTGCAGGAATACGGCTTCTACTACGTGGACGGACTCCTCGGCGAGCTGGCCGGGGGCGCGGTGTTGGATCAGGTGAAAGACATGCACCGCTCTGGAGTTCTGCAGGACGGCCGGCTGGCCGGATCCGTCCCGGCAGTCCACCGGAGGAGCATCCGTGGAGACAAGATCGCCTGGGTGAGCGGATCGGAACGCGGCTGCGAGGCCATCAACTTCTTGCTCAACCTGATCGATAAGCTGATCTCCTTTTGCTCCGGGAGGCTGGGAAACAAAGCGATTCGGGAAAGATCCCAGGTAAGCGAAACCGCCTGGTGGCACGATCCTGGTTTACAGCCATCGTGACGATTCAGAAAAACAAGCTAATAAAGGGGCAAAATGTGCCAGTATTTGATCGGGAGCGACCAAACAGGAGACGCAGAGGACCAGAGCTGACAAAACGGAGGAAAGCAAAATACGAACCGATCTTTAAACACGATCAGACCTGCTTCCACGAGTAGTTTGTCGTCGAATGTTTGAAAACCAAAAAGCCCAAATAAAGCACATCGTGAGTAGTTTATTCAGAGTTAAAGTGAATAAAACCCCGAAATAAGCATCATAAGATATGTACTTTTTAAAAGGGTACACTGTTTCAAGCCGACTTTAGTAAACTCATTTTAGTTAAGTAACAAATTCTTTAACTATTTTTTATATAATTTATTTGTGATGTAGACCGTAAAGACTTTATAACTTGCTTCGTGTAGTTTTCGCCATCAACAAACTCCAGTCAGCAGTTAAAAATAAACTTCGTGTGTCTGGAACTCACAGGTTAAAATAAAAACGGAGATGTCACTCCCCACTGTCAGCAGTGGCATTGTGCCGAAGCTGTGCGCTGGTTTGGACTCCAGCTGGTTATAAGTGATGCTGAGATCAGGAGATGCTGTTTATCTCAGGCCTTCCTTCTTTCATTTAACAGCTTGGCTCATCACACACTCCTCACATCCTCTCCTCCTCTAGCTGCTCAGTGGAAAGGTGCATCATGCGTAGAAGTAAACACACCAAAGCTCTTGCACAAAAACATGGCATGCTGTGACAGTGGTTTTAATATTGGTATTTATTACAGCAAATTGTTAGTTGTGAAAAAGGCAGATGTGAGCTCAAGTGGACTCTACATAACTCCGGACTGTTTTAATCACTAGGCACTGACTGGAGCTCTGCTTTATTTCCTCTATCCTTTTCTTTCTTTCTGTTGTGCTTGGACGTTCTTCTTTTTCTCAGTAACTTGTTGGCCTTTTGGCAGTATTTCAGTAACTGACCAATTCTGGGCCCTGAGCCAGTGTTTCAGAAACCAGAACACGGTGCAGGAAGGGCAGGGAATTTACGACATCAGGTCAGGTCCTCTGGGTGTTCTCCGCTGCTGTGATGATTAATGGCGTGAAGATTACGGTTCCGTCGTAGGAGTACCATTCTCAGCTTTTACATGTATCGTCTCTACCTATTAACCTGAACAGAAACCTGTGGGCATTGACCCAGAACGAGCCTCCACATAATAATAACAATATTGTATTTACTAGCAGTATATAAACTGCTGAATTGACATGCAGTACAATGCAGTTCAAAGTAGATCTAAAGTTTTATTAATGTGTTAACAACTATAACTCTACAACTCTCAGACAGATAATGAACAGCAGTATTGTAGGAATAATAATGCAAGTTGTGAAGACTGAAGGCTGAAACTAAGGCGCCCTTAAGTGAGATGGTGTAAATACAACGCACTGTTTCGTGTGCACAGCAGCTAGAGAAAATCTTTATTTTATCTAATTTGTTTTACTTTTACTGGAGAACTTTTAGATTTTGTGATGTACTTGGCACATGTAAAAACAACGTTATTAAGCTGTGTCCTTTAGCTAACAGTAGTGTTACAATTAGTCAGTAAACAGTTAGTGTAGTTTGTGTGACTAATGTCGTTTCACTTTGGCACAGTATAATAAAATATTCAAGGGCCTACATTAAATGGATTATTTTATTATAGGATGTATATTTTTCATACATTTCCATAAAAATGGCCGGAGGTGGAATTTAACTGATCAAAATACATTTACTTACTTCCGTTTCATATCGCTTTGTACCTAAAATACTACATCTGAGAGACAAACCTACTGAAACCACTATATTTGAACGAAAGGTTTAGTTACTTTTGTTTAAGGGCAATATTAAAAATAATGTTAGAAAACTAAATAAAATTGTGATCATTTTGTGTGTTTCAGGTGAAAATAAGGGTAAACTGGGTGAGAAAATCTTGTTGTATCATAAGTGTGTGGGGGGGAAACACACACTTATCTTCAAGGACATTTTGTTGCTGATACTTGCTTTAAATATAGGTAGCAAATATTTAGGAATCGGTTTAAAATTTTCTATAGTTGAGGGACTGGTAGAAAACAGCTCACGCATTAAGCTGGTGCTCCAGACTCCAGTTTCTCTTCCCTTTTCTCGCACATTGATGAATTTGTCCCAGAGGCTCATCAGCAGTGGAAAACCTCTATCTCATCACCTCTCCTCTGAAGCACCAAAGAAGTTTTGCATCAGTGGGTTTCTCAGTCTCCCCTGACTCTAGACATTTGCAGTCCTAAGACAAATTAAGACGGTAGTATTCATTACCTATAACACTGCCACAGTCTGTGTAAGATTAAATTAAAAATTTAAGCTGCTTTTTGTTTTAAAGGCTTTTAGACTGCTGGACCTGAGCCGCAATAAGTAACGACTCGCGTCATAAATGTAACTTAATGAAGAATTTGAAATTCAGTAATTTTAACATCGGCACTGCTCGATCGGTGAGTGAAATGTGCTTACATTTAAAAGAGAATTCTTTGATCACTTTGCTTGGACTGTCCAAACCACCAATCCGCAATGAATCTTGGGATCTCCTTGATTCATCCTGCAAAAAAGACATTTATGAGCTGCATTTTAAGAAAAATTTGAAGGGTTTGTCACCTCGTAACATAATTTCACGTCTATAGTCACAGCAAGCCTAGCAAACCCCATGACTACCTGTATGGTGTCCCAATCAGTGTGGGCATCTTCCTAATATAAAAATCCAGGTGGATGTGTCATAAACATATTCCCCCTACTCAGTTTTATGAAAGTGGAAACCAGCCAAATCAATTTTTGTACTAGGATATGCTTTTAATGCTCAACATGGGAGTCTATGGGCATTGACTCCTTTTTAGTACCAGCCCCAAGTGGCACTTAGATGAACTCCAAGACTGAGACTGCATTTTATTAAAATACCTCAATGTCATTTGGATCTGATTTGCAAAAATTCACATTTTGTTTTGTTGTTGTTGTTGTTGTTTGACATTTCTAAAAATCTAATTAAATATATCTAAGAGATGTGAGACTTTACATTTTGGTTACAGGAGAGCAGAAAAACTGAAACTCAACAGAAAGGGGGAGATCTAGTCAGTCACTTACAGATATTCTATTTTACACAGATGGAAAAATATGTTAGATAAATGATATCAAAAGCCTGCAACAACTAGTCAGCTAATTTATCGAAATAACAACATCAAGTCAGTGTTTGATGGATGCCAGACTGTGTCTGTGTCCTTTTCTCTGAGATCAGCATCACTTGGGCTCGAATGACCCCGACCTTAACTTTAAAACTAAGCCTAACTCTCAAAAAGTTCTTGTTAAAGTTTTAAATCCCAAAGCAAGGAGCGACCAAACTGTCTTAAATTTTCAAAAATGTCCCTATAAAGACATTGTTCCTCGGAAAGTCAGACACAGCAGAACAGATACACGCCCATTCGTGTGAGTGGGCGTGAAGGTATGCGCGTGTAGCAGTGGACATTCTCACGTACACATTCAATTCTTCCTTCACTCCTCCTCAGCACACACATACAGTATCCTCATCACACACACACACACACACACACACACACACACACACACACACACACACACACACACACACACACACATTCCTTCTGTTTAATATTAGTCACTTTTTTGGTGCCCTTGTTTGATTTCAATCGCTTCTTGTGAAAACGGGTCAGCACTGACGCTACATCACGTACACACACGCTCACACACACACACACACACACACACACACACACACACACACACACACACACACACACACACACAACAACACACACACAACTAACCCAGACAGCTGGAGATGATGCAGGAGAATAAACAGCAGGATTTGTCTTTTGTGTGAAGGACACAAAAAACCTTTAATAATAGTTTGAAATACAATTCTGATTATGATACAAGCAGCTGGACATAATTAAAAATCAAAGATTGCACCCAAAGTAGTAGACAAACCCAACTCCAAGCATTGCTTGACACCAGTCTGTTAGGTGGTTGAAGCCAAGCAGTCTAGCTCCAGTATCTGTGAGGCATTAAAAAGGTCTTAAAACCTCTTGGACTGGGTTTGCTAAAAGTTGCAGAATCACTGCTGCTGGATGTCGGTGGCGCTGCAGACGCGCTGTAGCCTCACGCGCCACACGTAGCTTTGTCATTAAACCATCAGCTGGCTGGAAACCTGCCAAACAACCGCACAGACATCACCACACCTGCACAACATCTCCCCGTGCCCCTCTCCTCCCCCCTCTCTGCATCTCCCTCTGCTAGAGAGATAAGATAAAGTTGAATTGAAAAACAGTTCTAAGGCGTTTTTGTTTTCAACCCTTTTCCTCTCACAGTGTATCATTTCATCTCCGCTCAGCCCCCCTCCTCTGTCACTGCGCTTATTTTTTTCTCATTCTACAGGAACTCACTTGTACGATGACGGTAATGATGATGAAGCCTGTATGTGTGTGTGTGTGTACGTGCCCTAGTGGCGGCGTGTAAACAAACTTGCGTGATTTCTCCACTTCCCCTCAGAGCGAGCCTGTGGAGCAGGTCAGCCGCTCGTTATCAGCGCTAGGGGTTTGTCGTCACTGGCAGCCAGGGAGGCCTGAAACTGCGTGCACGTTTGGAGTCCCTCGCACACACTGACGGGGGCTTGACTTCTGCACCCACCCACCATCCCGATCCCCTTCTCATGAAAAGCAATAGAGAGGGGCGTTTCACAGCGAGAGCGCCCAAAAGGGAAGGGGTGTGGCGTCTACATGGTTGCATGCAACGGGTGTATAAACACAGACATCAGGTGGTACATGTTGATGTCAGTAAGGTTGCTAAAGGTGTGCTGCTGTTGTCGTTGATGTATCGAGGGAATGGTCTATTGGATCTGGGGTTAATCTGCACTGTGACCTTCCTGTATAAACTGGCATGTGTGTTGATAATCGTAAAGGAAAGGAAGTGAACAGGATGTTCGCTTCCATGAGATTCTATGGAGCGTGCAAAGGTGTAGAAGGCCTTTGCACGCATGTGTTTGACAATAAGGGGGGTTCACAATAAAATCCCATCAGAGAAAAGGGGCAAGCACGTTGACAGCGTGACTGCTGCCGTTTTGCCTCTATAATTTTCTGCTATCGAGGTTCCGCGAATAAATGCAAATCACGCTCATGTCTTGGACATGTGCGTACATTGAGCTACAGGCATTGGTCGAGGGGCTTGCGTGCAGTCTGTGTGTAATCATCGGGGTGAGGTGACGACGTTGACGTCAGAGAGATGGTAAAGATAACACGCTTTGACATAAATCAGTGCTGCTGATGTTTGTTTTGGCGCGTTTAAGGAACATGTGTTTTTAACAAGCATCAATCTTCTCTAACGTCATTTTCCTTTTCTTTTTTTCTTTCATTTGTAAAGTAGGGTCCACATTCTGGAAAAAATGATTGATTTTTCAGTGCCAAATGGTGAAACATGGAAACTTGCACAAAACTTTAATAAATTGTCTTTTAATATTTTTTTCTGTTTTGGAAAAAATTAAAGGGGCAGGTGTGTTTTACTGCAAGCCCAAGTAAATAATAATATCAGTCTGTGAAATGCTAGATGTAGCTGTTTAGCTGCAGTGGGCAGTCTGAGCAGATCTAACCTGAGTAGCACAGAATCAGCTGTTTGTGACCACTGGGTTTTGTTTCATCGGCAAGGATCACAGTTTGTGCTTTGTTTTCTGTGGACTCTGAGACACAGTCTCACGTCTCACAGTCTCGTCTCTTACTCTGAGCTTATCAGACACTTCCTGCTGGGGTTATGAGGTCGCAGCGCTGCAGGGAGGGGATGCAGGGAACCCCCCCCCTAGCTCCCACCTCCCATGTCCTGTTTGGAAAAGGTTTCCATTTTAACTGAAATGAACTCGTTTTCTGTGAATATTTATTGTATTTTTATTATTTTATTTTTATTTATTGCTTCGAGGAAGCAATTAATTATGAGGACTTTCTAGTCAAAGCACTGGTTTGTAAGAACTAGTATTCTAGTTTTAGTATTTCTTTCATTTTAAACATGTAAAAAGAAATGGCTCATTTTCAAAAAATAGTGGAACAAATAGATGATGGGGCCAAAATCTCAGTGACGTCAGGATTCCTGGTTGTGTTGGGAAATCTGTCGGTCTTTGCAAAACTATTATGGCCTCTTATCAATACTGTAACCACAAGCGCGGCTGTTCCAATTTTCTCCCAATACTGACTGGCAGCACGTACGCACACACACACATATGTACACATACATGTGTGTACGTGCGACTCGGTGTGTAGGCATGCAACCACAACAAGCGCATCTGGACACGAGAAATATTAGTAAATAACCACCACACACACACCTACATTGGTGCGCACATACATAGAGGAAGTATGTGTAATTGTGTCAGCATAACAGATTTTCAACGCGCCAGCTTTTATTTCGAAGATTATATCAGCCACTGTACTCGTTCAGCATTACTTGTTTTTATATTATGTTATTATATTTCCAAAACAAGCCATAGGAAATGGTCATCTTATTACATCAGATTGTGCTAAACTAAAAGAACACTCTAGTACATTTTTATTTCCTGTTATCTCTGTTAACACTACAATTTTATTCCTGATATTTTAGTATTTTTACTATTCATCAGTTCCTTCCATTATACTCCAGTTTCAGAACTTCACTTCTTTTCTTTTCTTTCTTGATTCATGTGTTGATGGTTTGATTTGTAAAAATTTGGAAAAACGTGAGCAGCAGTTGTGACAGCTCACAAGTTTACAAAGCCTCAGTTAAATTCTACTGATGAGAACCACAATTATCAATAATTACAATATCGGTGGTAACAAAAATCAAAAGTAACCAAGTAATAACTAATCAATTCTGTTTGTATGTGCTGTTTTCCGTTGTGTTTCGTAAATAAATCTGTGAAGCAAAAACTTTATTTATTTATCTGTGTGATGTAGTCAAATATGAGACACATGAGAAAAAATAGCAGTTAATGTTAGCACTTTCTATGATGTCCGAGCTCGTGGTGAAGTGCATTTAAAGCAGCAGGGTTTTGTGGTAGTAGTGACACAGGAGTGCTCTAATTATTTCTGCTTGTGCGTGTCTGTTTAGGCTATGGTGGCGTGTTACCCAGGAAATGGGGCGGGTTATGTCAAGCACGTGGACAATCCCAACTGTGATGGACGCTGCATCACCTGCATCTACTACCTCAACAAGAACTGGAATGCCAAGGTGCTTATTACAATTTATTCATTTATTCATTTATCGAACCCTCTTTTCAGTTTGTCGTGTTTGATCACCATCTCGAATCTTTTTATGATTTCAAGTCTGATTGTGAGCTGAGTGAATAGTGAAGTTTCTGACTTTGATCTCTGATGATATCAACATGAAATGTTTTTTTGCTTCCTTTGACTTGATAAAATCAGAGGAAGTGATCGCGACTGATTTGAATTAAGATGTGAATATTTGCACATTATTGGTTTCTGTCTGGGGACAGGAGTGAATAGAAATGAGAGAAAAAGAACTTTCACTAAATTGTCTTTCCTGCTGTTGTTTATCAGGAGCATGGCGGCATCCTCAGGATCTTTCCAGAAGGGAAGTCGTACGTGGCAGACATCAAGCCACTTTTTGATAGGCTGCTCTTCTTTTGGTCAGACCGCAGGAACCCACATGAAGTGCAGCCTTCCTATACCACCAGGTAACCCGCCAACCAACCCATCAGTACCCCAATTCATGAGGCAGCTTCTCCTGTAACTACTACAGACATGATGACTTGGACCATCTGCCTTTGTTGGCATTTGTTAGACGTGTTGTAATTTTCCTTAAAACATGGCAAATTAATTAGCAAAAACGTAACCCTTATTAACACACACTGGTCGTTACAGACAGCAATGGCAACCACTGAAGACACTGTTCTTGCCGTTTGTGTTTCAGGTACGCCATCACAGTTTGGTATTTCGACTCTGAGGAGCGAGCCGAGGCCAAGAGACGCTTCAGAGACCTCACAGGTACAAACGAACCCCGGACAAAGCGCAAATGCTTTCAAATTATATCTTGAGACAGAATTTCATTTCTGAATGTCTTTGTTTTTTCTGTTTCAGCATCAAAGGCGCAGCAGGGCGGTAGCTCCAGCAGCTCCAGCTGATCACGAGGAGGTGTCACCACCTAGTGTTCAACCTCCAAACCGCAGGAGAGGGCGGCAGGGTTCCTTCTGGTCGTCGAAGCTTCTGGAAAAGCTGAAAGAAAAGTTGAAAAACAAACAAAAAAAAGTTTTCACCCTGTCCTGATCTAAGGACGGGCGTTTCTGACCTGCCTGCATTTCTGCTGCTGCTCCTGCTGCTGCTATAACCCGAGGCACTTTGGGCGACCTGCAGCTGTTCTGGACATTCCCTGCTTTTCATGATGTTTCTGCAATACGCAGCTGATTTCGTCTGAGTGGAGAGAAAAAACTGTAGACTGTACTTTATTTTTTTTTTTTGGTAAATTTTCTTTTAAAGCCTCACCTTCAGATGAGAGGAGGAGGAGAGTTTGCCGACAGCTTTCGGGGTTTACAGAGAGACGTGATGTTTTTAAACCACTGTGACGGAAGTTTCACACTTAAATGTGTGCTTAAGAAGGAGGAGCACAGAACTGTTGCTTAAACTACAGAAGAAGAAGAAAAATTGTTTACCAGTAGATGATGCCTCGATATCCACCGACCAATGAGGGCTGAACTTGAAAAAGATGAAAATACATATTTCAAATTTGAGATCTTATTAGGAGAAACTTTTGAAAAAAACTTTGTATATTTTATTGTGAACAACCAAAAGGAAAAAAAGAGCTTGCTAGAAGCAACTCTATATTAAAATACTGAGTCATTAAGGATTTCTTTTTTTTTTAAAGAAAAACTCCATTAGCATTAAATCAATTATTTATTTTAAATTCAACAAATTTATTAAATCACTAATAGTTTTATCACCCTAGAACTTAGATGTAAATGTTTCCACTTAATATATCAGACAGTGCATCGCTGGAGTGCCAATTTTGGGAAGAGCACTTTGCCGCGATGATATGAAACGTTTGTGGAAAATAGCTGTGTCATCTAATCCAGAAAAGTAAAACGAATAGTTTAATCGGTTACTTTTCCAAACAGCTATTCCTTGTAGCTTCAACCAAGCTTCCAATTGGGAACTAGCGTGTGCTGCAAATCACCTTCTAGTAAATGGTTTTGTAGGTTCAGCTAAGCTGCTGGCCTCGGACAAAATGCTCTTAAAGGGGACCCATTCTGCTCATTCTCACTCCGTATTTTTATTCTTGAACTCTTAAATGAGCAACGTCGTACGATTCACAGTTCAAAATAATGCCTACTTACCGTATCCTGCTTAGTTCATGAAAATGATTTCCTTCCTTGACATAGTGAATAACATAAAATATGTTCGTGTGATAGAAAAGAAGGAAAAGCAAAAAGGTCCCCTTTAAGGTCAAGTTTGCATTTAATGGGAATGAATTGTTCATTGAAGTTTACCATATGATCTCTTATATTGCACTACCTTCCATCATCATATGTGAAAGGTTTTACTTTCCAACACAATTCTACTGAGATTTGATAAATGACGTATTTTTTATAGTAAAATGTGTTAAATATCCACAATTGCAGATTTGTTTTTCATACCCTTCTCTGAATGCTTCTGTGTATTAGTGAACTTTGTTGGCTGAGAAATAGAAAAACCTTTCACTTTAAGTGTGATTCACAAATAGTCTTCCGTAAATTATTTTGACAAAACGCTCCATTTACTCCGGTCCCTGTGAGTTCGGTCCCTGAATCGAAAAACGGATGTCTGTGTCTGGTGCACGCGCCGTCCTCTGCTGACGGAGAAGGACGATGAGGAGACAGATTCCACTGATACAGCAGATTTGACGGGAGCGTGTGAAGCAGCTGTCAAAGAGACTGTACATATGAGAGGATGAATAATTGATGTTCCGTTCAAACAGCCCTTCTGAGACATTATTGAGCTCGAGTCGCTGTCCTGAAACAATAACGCTCACCGCCAACTTACACCACCTTTAAAACTGATCTGTCATCTTCGCTGCAGCGGGAGTGGGACAACCCCCCCTCACTTGGGCTCTCTGCTGGTATTACTGCATTCTTTGGTGGAAGAGTTAAGTCTTGTACACAATCCGAATGTTCTGTAAACATGATATTTACAAATGTGTTGAATACAACTTTGGTTTGAAAAAAAACAGACTGTGGTGTTTGACTTTATTTATGGCTTTATGGTTTATTTAACCATTCACATCACCGGTTTATTTACAACTAAAATAAGTGGTTCAATTATGAACTCTTATATAAATTCAAGGGCTGCTCCAGTGCAATTCACTGATCAGGTATAACATGAGCACTGACAGGTGAAGTGAATAACACTGATATTTCTTCATGATAGCAACTGTTAGTGAGTGGGCTATATCAGCGAACAAGTGGGTCCCAAAGTTGATGTGTTAGAAGCAGGAAAAATGGGCCAAATTGTGATGTGACTAGATGGGTTAGAGCATCTCCAAAACTGCAGTTCTTGTAGGAGTTTCCTGGTCTGCAGTGGTCAGTATCTATCAAAATGGTCCAAGGAAGAAAGAGTGGTGAGCCAGTGACAGGGTCATCACTGGCCAAGTCTCACTGATGCACACAGGGAGTAACTGTGACAAGCTAATGTTGCTCAAATTGCCAAAAAAGTTGATGCTGGTTTAAAAATTACTGATAGCTCAATTGATATGTGTGGGAATACACAGTGCATTCCAGTTTGCAAATGGGGCTGCATAACTGCAGACCTCCCAGGGTGCTGACCTGCATCTACCACCAAAACCACCACCAATGTGCATGTGAGCATCAGAACTGGACAACAGAGCAATGGTAGAAGGTAGTCTGGTGTGGTCTAAGGAGCTTGGAAAGAAAAGTGTTTGGAGAAGCTTCTTCAGTTCTAAAAGCAACTGGTGGAGAGTCCCAGATTTTAAGCCCTATCCTCCCAACTAGGAAGGATCCGAAAGACAAACACAACAACAACAAAACAACAAACTTTATTTATATAGCACATTTAAAAACCAGTGGTGTACCAAAGTGCTTAAGAGAGTAGGATGAAGTAACAGGGAAGGATGAGGTCTATGGCAAGGTACCAAAACATGCTAGCAGGTTGAATGGCATTAAAACACAAAAGCAAAAGAATTGCATATAAAAGCATAAAAGAAAACTAAGTGTAAGGATAAAACAGTCAAAAAAATAATTAAAAATGATTAAAAGTAATTAAGAATAAGCCGAAGATAAGAATAAGCATTAAGCTAACTAACAAGCAAGCGTTAACTGGTAGATTTAACAATATTGTCATCCCTGTAGCCGGTTTATCAGAAAAACTCAGGAGAGTCTTCTCTAAGCACGACATCCCAGTGTACTTCAGGCCCAGCCACACACTCAGACAAAAACCGGTTCATCCCAAAGCCCAAAGACAAAACTCCTAAACACAAACTTTTTTTTTTCACCTATCCCGTTTGGTTCTATTGCCATCAGAATTAAAGGCGAAGAAAGATGCCCAACGGATTTACTTTACCAAATGGACTATCCCAGCCTTGCAGTATTGGTCTATTTGATTCACCTTTGCTTTTATTGTTTATTTTATTTTATTTTCACTTGCTACACACGGGACAGACTTGACTGGGGGAAAGAAAAGGGAGAAAGAAAGAGGGAAAGATAAAGGGCAAAAAACAAAAACCAACAAAACAAACAGACAAAAAAATACAGATATCAATCACCTGGATCACCTGTTGAGAAAGAAAAAAGAGAAAACAAGCAAAAAAAAAGAGAGCAATATAATAAACAACATCATCGCAATGACCTATGTGTCAGTCAGCTGTGCCAGAGTGACAGAGCCAGCACAGCCTGTGTGTGTGTGTGGAGGGATGTCTGAAAAAAAACAAAACAAAGCAATCAGGCTGAATTAGGACCAGACTAATCTTTTTGTCACATTGACACTGTTTATTTTATACTGTTTATTACACTGGCAATGATCAAAAGTGTGAGGGCTTAATTTACAAGAGCTGTGTGCCTATGAACGGCAAGTGTAGGTGTGTTTTCTCTTTCCAGTGCTCTTTTACAAATGGAATGCAGCAGCCCTGTGAAGTCTCTGTGTCCTGTGATGTGCTGCTTCATTAAACAGATTCAGGATGTGCATTTATCTGATAGACTGTTCGTCTGCTTTGCTGACAGCCAGGTATAAAGCTTTACATAAACAGATACACTGCCACTGGATTTTGGAGGCCATTTCCCTAGCATAAAGTACCAAAGGTCTCTCGTTGCCTCAGTGTGTGAGACCACATACCACCAGGGAATGGCAGCCTTATTTAAAGGGTTTATATGAGTGATATCATCACAAACCCAGAGGGTTCATACAAGAGGCTGATCCAAAAGCAGACTCAAGAGCTGACTTACTTTTTGATCAAGCTTTATTTACACACCAAAACAAGGATTATCTGTACACATGTGCACACACACACACACAAACACACACACATGGAGAGATTTCTGGCAAGCAGTTCTGAAAGAGAGGAAAGACTGCAGTGAGCTAAGACTTTATTACAGAAGGTAGCCGTGGTTTGGGGGGTGCAGGACTGATCTGATTATGGTCAGAACCAGTCTGCTTGAGGAGAGGAGGGCTGTAGAGGCTGTGCAAAGGGCCCAGGTTGGAGGTCGTTAAGTAGCGACATCATACTTTTTACAGTTTGGCTGAAGAAGGGAGGCGTTGACTGGCATTCAGTGGGCGCAACAGGGGAGGCCAGCAATTTGGATGGAGAGGAATTCTCCAGAGAAGCAGGGCTAATCAGAGTAGGAATGTTAGGAAAGGAGAATGTATCCGGCTGTGGAGCGGCAGGGAGGTGGTTAAGGAGTGACCACATGTCTTCCTGAATGTCAGCGAAACCAATAGGCTCTTTTTGGTGTTGAAAGAATGTGGCAGAAGAGCTAAATGGTGTGGATAGAGACGTATATACAGGAGAAGCAGGGTTGGTCTGAATTAGGTGATGACCAGTGAGTGGAGAGGAGGGCTGCTGAGACTGCTCAGAAGTGAGGAGGGGGTCAAGCTGTTCCACCACTGACAGCAGTGCTTCATCAGTGTCACTGACAAAAGTGGCCTGGAGCTGGACGGGTGCAGCAGAGGAGGCCAGTGATGCAGATGGGGAGAAATCCATACGAGAAGCTGGGAGGACCGGATTTACAAGAGACTGCAATGATCAGAAAAATGTACTTTAAAATATATCTGCAGTATTTAAATAAACCTGTAGGCAGTAATATATTTTGATCAGGCTGAAAGCGAGAGATGCCGTCACGCCACAGAGCATCCAGACTGGTCCACCAAAGAAAACTACGTATGTCCAAAGTGCTAACATGCAGTTCATACATGTGCCCATCACTGCACTGAATAATGAAACAACCAGTGCACAGAGTTTGGATCAACTGATGAAAATTCTCATATTTTTGTTTTTAGGGCAAAAAGAGGAAGAGAACACGAAATCGCACCTCGAGCACAGGTGAGAGGAGATTTCTGGGAATTACGACGTTTTTTCATGTGAAATGTGATGAAAAGAAGACGGAAATCTGTTAACAAAAGAAGACTTACTGTGTTTTTGTTTGTGTTTGTTTGTGCAGCATCTGAACCTAAACAGGAAGATCAACAGGCCAAGAGGCTTTGTGTGATGCCAGCTCAGACACAGCCATCTTCTTCCTATTCAGTTGCGAAGGAGCCTCTTGAGCAGCCACAGAGACAGCCAGCTGTTACCAACCTTCCTGATCAGCAGTCAGCGTGTGTGCAGCTGCAGAACACACAGACAACAGTTGATGCACCTGTGTGTCAA